CACCAGTAAAAACCCTTAGGCTACTTCAGTGGTCCTTTATTGTTTGTGGTGGACTGCTATATATAACATTATTATACATAAAACTATCCCTGAAGCTCAAAGTCCCATCAAGATCCTATACTGTTTCATATACTGTCAGTTAAATTGTTAATTCTAACCTGCCTTCCAATAGGTCTGGATTTTATGGTTGAATTTGCTATTATCTGTAAAAAGCAGATATTTAGTCCTGGTTTATGGTTAATGATTCTGTAATTACTCGGCCTGTCCACATGAAACAAGACTGGTGCAAAGTTCAGCGTCTTAAACTGAATGAAGACAACATGGCCGACAGGGCGACGGGCAGGTGACAGACAGTATGAGAGTGAGACAGGCACAATCCTGACATTTTGCAGCAGATAAGTAAGCTATCAGAGGAGAAGGATAAATAGCAAAGTAAAGATTGGTGTGGGCCCCTCGGAGAGGAGCGGGGGGCCATAATGGCGGCATGGTGGGCAGATAGCCCCCTGCTCTCATTATACTCTGTCTAATCCAAAAGCATGTTTACTCTAAGAGAGGCAGAGGAGGACCCTGCTTATCGAAGCCCTGCACAGTCCTGAAGCGTGTGTGTTAAAATGAGCCTATTCCAATGGAAAAGGGATCAGAAGTGTCTCCGAGGCAGACTCTGCTGGCGAGAATGTCGATGCTTATCGCGCTCTGCCTGGCTCTTGTGGTGAAAGGCGAATAGGCTATCGGCACTGCCTATTCACAGCATGTGTGTTTACCAGGGCAGCAGCCCAATGATCATTTAGTAATTACTGCTATTGTTAGCGCTCTGCTATCACTGTTTCAAGCCTTTAGAATGTAAACCAGGTTCAATTTACCACTCCTAAGCACATGAACATGTATTTGAAATCATATACTTTTTCGCATTATAATGATTCTGGATGATAATCTGTTTAGTTCATCAACTGACATGGAAATAAGTAAAACAATTCTTACATTCAACATATTCCAAAACTGCTGTTTTTAGATTTCCAAAAGATGACATTCTGTACATGCTGCAGAAGTTGACTTCTTTGACAGTACCTCACACTTTGTTGATTTTGTTTACAATGTTTTCTGTTGTTGGAGTAAATTTTTAATGGAGCATTGAGCTTTTCAGTGTGAAGTATTATAGTGTTTCTATATCCTACATTTATGTTGTGTTTCCAAATCACTGAACAGTGGTACAGCTCTCTGGTGCCTCACAGTGGCACACACACATTATTCCAAATGTACTTAACCTCTGTTGTCCTGGTCCTCCTTGAACATGAGATTCTGCATCTCAAGGTTCTTTCTGTTAAACCCAAATGTTTGGTCTTCCTCCTGCAGCTTCCCTCCTCTGCCTGTCCTGTGCACCTCTGTGTACTGTGCACCATGAACCGAACCCTGTGTGCAGCGGCCGAGCTAATCCAAGCCTCGCTAAAGTAGCCGTGTGAGAGCACAGATTGTCAGTTGATCATGGCTAGCCCAGAGCCTTATCCCTTATTGGATCGGCCATGGAGGAGGCTTAGGAATTATCTGCGGCCTTGCTTAATGTGGAGAAGGATCACCACTGAAAGAGCCGAGGAGCACAAGGCTCTGTGGGCCCGGGGCACGAGGAAGAGTCTGTGTGTGTCACTATGTTACAGCAGCAACAGGAATGAGCCGCATCACGGACCACTTAACCTCATCTTGACTCCACTCTCTGTCACCTCAACTGTTTTTCCACCACAACAGGCCATCTCCAAGTGTCCTTTTATTCCATATCAGATCTCAGATTATCTGTTTATCTGTTCCACTTCAATACCTAAATTAAAGTCTTCATTTACACAATTGTCAGTATTTTGATTCATATCATGTATGTAAACATGAATAGAATCTGAAACCATAAACCATTTTAGTTGTCTTTTAAAATAATCTCGTATTTTCAAATCATTATATAAAATAAGTTTCACAAATTTCACAGGTCACTTTAGTATACCTGTTTGCCTTTGACATAACTGCTACTGTGAGCGGAAATCTTGGAGTCATCACTGCTGTATATAAAGTCATAATTACTAACGTTTTGCATTTTGGTTTGGTGAAAATATGTTCACTAAAATACTGACACATTGTACTAATGGCTCAGATTGAGTAATTGTCCCTGTTTGGACTTCTTAACTTTAAACCTTTCATTCCCTGGAGTACCTGGGCCTAAGGAGAGGTTGGTTTGGGTTAACAAGTTGACTTTCTAAGACTGCTGTGGTCAGTCTTACCCTGGTCTGCACCAGGATAAACAGGAGAAAATAGAAGGATCAGTACGCCCTGGAGCACGTGATTAGTGGGGGCTCTAGGGTTAGCTTAAAGGTGCTAAAGTTCTTCGGGTCAGCACCGGGTCACTCTGTTCAGGATACACCAGGGTTTAGACCAATGCCATTATACTAAGAATGTATTGGGTGTTATAACAGAGATTTACTGTGATCTGATTGGTCAAACTCTCAAAGACCTTTCAACTCTGGCAGGTTCAAAGTGCAAATGGGGATGAGATGCTCTTAATTTTACCTAGTTTATTGTTTACAATAATCAGCTGTGTTGTGTGGTTAGCATTTAGCACAATTTTTTCAGTTTTACGATTCATCTTACAATAATACATATAATTTTTCCACTTTTATTTTTGTTAAGCTGACTTTTTTAACTAGTATATACAAATTATATTATGTTCATGAACACATCAATGTGTACAGTTTACCAGTTTAATCAGGTCCACGGTGTCCTCATGAAGACATATAGTATAATATATTTGCTCCAGTGGCACATGGATTTTATGATGTAGGTTCCCAAGTTCTGTCTATTGTCTCTGTAGCTTTCTAACATTTTCACAATCCTTCAACCTCAGGGGCATCTTGTTAGGAAGAAAAGTAAGGACAAGAAAATAAAATCAAGTACAGTACAAAACATGTAAACGATCATTTTACCAGTTTTTGTGCATTTCTCAGACTCAGAACACACCCACAGTGAACTGCCTCCTATCAAGTTAACAACCTTGCCTAAGTTCCTGACACCAATAACTATATTAAACGCACACAGGCCCACACACACCTTGGCTTGCTCATCTGGTAATTGAAGGTGAGAAATAATTTCATTATCCTGAGGAGGGGTAATCTGCTCTGTGTTGCACTGATCCCTTCATTTCCTACAGTGCAGCGTGACCTCACACCAGCACTATCACCAGCACCACTTCCTATCACCTCCGCCTATTAATGCTATTGGAGTCAGGGATTAAACAGCACATTCACATATGCTTTACAGAGTTTATTACTGAGAGCACTCCCACACAGCTCTGTTATCTGGGATTGTGGAGGACTTTTTGCATTAAAACTATGAAGGTTTGTTTTTTGTGGAGGCAGAGGTGAGGAGAAGGGGATCATGTGCGTGTCATGTTGCATTACCACCCCCTGCTGCTCAGCCTCTTCCAGCTCTCAGTGTCAAGATGTCACTTTTTTTGGAGAGAATGAAGAACAACTATTTTTGCATAAGAAAATGGTACCCCAAAAGGAAGAAGTATTTATGTATATATTTATGTATATGTATATGTATGTGTATATATAAATATTGATTATAATATATAAATATAAAAATACTGTTTGCTTTTTATTTTTATTTAAATTTTTATCCTCAATCAAAGTTTTATTATAAATGCTAATACTTGTTTTTATTATTATTATTTTTTAAATCTTGAAACACTTTTAAAAACATGTATTAAGAAATTATGCACAAAAAATATATGAATACCGTGTTGTTAAAGACTTTAAACTGACAGCTGGGACAAATCTTTTTGTATTGCCTGTTTTCTATTGTAAATATGTTGTATTCTAATTTTCTTGCATGCCATTTTAAACCACATCATACTCAATTCATATACAATAGTCTGGCATGAAGGCATCCAGAGCCCCTGTATAATGAGGGTTAAGGAGATGGTTATGTAGGCTCACCCAGGAGGCTAATTCATCCCTAACTTTTCTCAATCTGTCACAGCTGTCTGTTTAAAGAGGCACAAGGAGACAAAATATATATATAAAAAAAGTAATCTCCTAAAGTCGAATATGTCTGACACTCCAGTAATGCACTATATATATATATATATTTACCAGCTGTCAGTGTTTGTGCGTGCATGTGTCCGCCGTGTGTCTAATGAGGAAAAGGCATATTTGGACATTTTATCAATAGGCATTATTAAATCCTGCTTGCTTGAGCTAATCTCCACCGACCGGAGTGTGCGCGTGTGTGGAGATGTCTGGCCCGCGAGGTGAAGAGAGCCCGCCTGTAAGCTGCTTATTATATCGACTTCCACCTTTTCCTCCCCTCCCTCCACACCCCGTTACCTTGTTCACTTTTCCCCGCCTGCGTTCTCCAATTCTATATTTTCATTTCATTTAGCACACACACAACGCACACATGAGCGTCGCCAAGCTCCCCCTGTTCAAAGCCAGAAAAATCCCAAGTTTTATTCAAATGACTGTTTACTTCTTCTACTGCCAAGTTGTGTGTTTTTGTGGGAGGAGAGACAAAATGGTTCTAAGTGTGTGCACGTTAGTGTATGTTACTTGCACAGCAGAAAGAGAAGGGCTGAGTGTAGGTGATAAGGCAGACAGGCCTGCTTGCCGCGATTATCACCCACCGGACCCCCTGTCTCCCTCTCTTTCTCTCTCCTCACACGGTACACACTATAACCCACCGAGGGAGCTCCGCGACTCGGATTTAGGATAGACAGACAGATGGACTGAGCACAGAGAAGAGAAGAAGCCTTGGATCACAGGCAACAGGGAACACACAAGAAAAGCAAAACCAACACAGACGGCACAACACAATACAATTATGCTACACAGGCATTGTCTTGATATTTCTCATTTTGTGGCCGTTTGATGTTGAGACGCTGGGATGCAAACAACAGGAGTTACATATACTGAATGTGTCTGTATATGAGATGGAAGTATGTAGTGACCCGGTTCTCTTCTTTCCAGGTGTGTGGCCGTCTGAAGAGGTGATGGCTCACTACTGTCTGCAGAAACGCATGTTGTTCAAGTGAGTCTAGTCTCTAATACATCTCCATGAACATGTTTGTTGACACCGCTCATTTGCACAGAGTCCTGAGCACAACCATAGACTTAGGAGCACAATGCATTAACAGAAGAAGGAAAAAACAAAAAACAAAAACACACATTCGATGACATTAAACATACAAGATCTGGCTCTCTAAATGAATCATATCCAAACATATCCTGCATGTACACATTAATAAATCAATCACATACCCATATACATACAAATTAATGAATAAGTGAATTAAAGACAAGAATGGATTTTTTTCAGAGGTTTTTAACAGGTGCAGGTTATTTGTAAGTGGTTAAGATCCATTGTTTTAGACAGGTGGATAGCGGTGTTTGATCAGCTTGAACAAGGCAAGTTGTTTTATCATTATCAAGTGAAATAAGTAATATAAAGTACTGTATCCTGATCAATATGCAGGACTGAATGTAGTGGCTATGAAATGATCATGTATAAGAGCAAAGAAATTATTATGATGAATAACATTAATATTACAGCATTATGCATGTATGTATATATGCAACCATGTATATGTATGTACACTAAACATCATTCAAGTATCAACAACCAGTTAACCTTTTGTGGTTTCTGTCCAATGTACATGTCAGCCTGCCAACCATCAAAAACTTCAACTACACATACCAAACATCCACAAACAAAGTCTTATTTACCTTTATTATACCTTGGTAATAAATAGGGTAGTCAATGTACGCGTTCTCGATGTAATCGCAGCAATGGTATCAGTCTGTAGCCTTGCCCTTCATGCTGTGCTGCGGTGTGCTGCTCTTTCCCCTGCTCTGGTGTGCCGCATGGAGGCCTGGCCCGCGGCACGAGGCTGCAACTGCCCAGGCACCTTTGATTTCCACTCAAGGTGGAACATCACCCTTTGATTTGCTGTTTTAACATTCAAGAGGCGGGAGGCGAGGAGGAGAGGGCTATCGATCAGAGCGGCCAAGTGAAGGTCAGCCGTGGAGGGGGCAGGATGAAACGGGGAGCGGAGCAGTGGAGGGCTGGAGGAGATGAAAGAGGAAGAGGATGGAGAGAGGGGCTGAATGAGCACGCAGGCAGCATGGCCCAGAGTGTGGCTCCCATTTCCCGCTGATTGAGCTTGTGCTGCTCCATGTTCAGTATGCGGCTTTCAGGTTGACGCTTGAATTGATATTTGTTAGCCTGCTGTGTTTACTGTGTGAGTGTATATGCACATCTCTGGACCTGCGTGTGCTAAGCGACGGCTAAAGTAACTCTGACTGTGGTGTGTGTTTTCTGCTCTCTCAGGGGCGCCGTGTGCGAGCTGGGAGGAGGCATGACTTGTCTGGCTGGCCTCATGGTAAGTGAGCTTGCACAGGACAAGTGGTGCACTAATGAAACTGACCCCCGCCGATCGATACACAAACAGCATGGGCACACACAATCTGTACCTATTCACATCAACTGTCATCCCGTGCAAACAGCTCTTCACTCCGCAAGTCTTCAAAATCCTCATTTAACCTGAACAATTTATCCCTGCAAAGGCAGAAATTTTTTAATATACTTCTATTTTCAAGATGCCCCAGTATTTGTAATTAAGAATCTCAAACTAATATTCTGATCTGTAATATATTACTGTGCAAATCAAGCCTTTACTTGCTAGGATAGATTCCAACTCGCCATGATCCACCCAGTGCAGCATGAGGTGTCATTATGAGATTTGTGCATAAGAAAATGGATCCCTGTACTGTTTATATATAGCCATATCATGTAACTATGCTCACATATAATGTACAGACCACCCTGTAGCTAGCTCAATTCACTAGCTCTGCTGCTAAAAGCTGGCCTCCATCGACATGTGTGACAATGACACATACACATAGCTACACTTGGACATAGTGCGCTCTGTCAGCTATAGGGTTTATTAGCGTGGGTCTTAAGGGCCCCTCCACATCGCAGGCGTCAGTGTCCCATCGATCCACCAGCTTCCAGTTGTGTGTGTGTGTGTCTGTGCGTGCATGTATGTGTCTGTTTGTGTGTGCGCACATGTGTGTATGGTCCAGTTTATCTCCTGCCAGTCGATACGCCATGTTGTGACATTGGCTTGAGATGGAATCCTTCCTTCACACCTCTCCTTCACCTCCTGCTCCTCCACAGGCCGACACTGACACCACCTTTGACACAGCTCACCTATTTCTGCTTGAAAAAGCCTGTGTTAATGTTTGACATGATTACTTAATCTGCAATAACGCACTTGTCTGAATTTATAAGCACAGCCCAAAATCGTAAATGTAGGGTAACATAAAACCCACAGAAATTACATTAGGTAATACTAGTGCTCATACTATTTATGTGCACTGCCACAATCACTATTCGTACATATTTATACTTTATCTAAACTGTATTTGTACCCAGTTTGTAAAATTGTTCTGCTGCTGATGTATAGTCCATAGCTCAATACAGCTCTAGCTGGTTGGCCTCCTCATCTTCCAGTCAGATGATCTGGTCTGGCCTGCAGGACCCTTCTCTGTTTGAGCAGATGGTTGATGTGCAGTAACCAGTCACTGACTGCACATGCTTCCGGGACATGCACCAGAACGTGGCTTGATGCAATCATTGTTCATAATTCCTATGCTTTTAAATATTATATAGATTAGTTACTACCAGAACTTTTAAACTCAATATTAAGTCTTGATTTTTGATATATTGCAAGTATTACGACCTGATATGCATGATTTTGTGTGTGTGATAAAAGTTAAATATTAAAACCAAACCTTAAATAATCCGATCCTTATTATTGCCATGAATTAAATATCAGCCTGGAAAAATTCTGTAATCATCTATTGAAACCTCTCACCAATTACATTTTTACAATTGCAAATGCTGATTTTGTTGTTTTGACTTTCTGTCAGCAGCATAACTCTAAATTATCAAGTTGATTAATAGGTGGACTAATGGACTCTTAGTCAACCACATTAAAGCATTTGGATCACAACAGAAATGAAGTGAGATAGTTTTGCTCAAGATCCTAATAATTTTGAGAGCTTTTGCCAGTGCCACCCATCCTTTTATTTAATGAATCGATACACGTAGGATGCTTGTCAACCACACATTAACTTTAGGCCCTACTTTCTAGTTATTCTGCTACTTTCAAAACTTTATTCTATAGCCACACTACATATGCCACACTGCTTATAGCACACAATACTCACTCTTACTGAATCCGCATACTTCTTAACACAACCTGACATACACTCTCAGATATGAAAAACGCGTTGGTAAAGAAAAGCACATATGAAAAGAGGGTTATAGTCAAGCTTGCACCTCTCTCCCACTATCTATATCTCTCACACACATTCCCACACAATGCCTTCTATCCATTCTCCCTTTTTTCCTCGCCATCTCCGATATAGTCTCCGCTGCTGCAAAGTTATATGAAGGGCATCAGGCAGGCCGCGGTGAGCTGAGTGCAGAGTGACAGCGACAGCCAGCGAACGCCGGAGTGATGGCTCAGCCCGATAAATACCAGCGTCAAATGAAAAGGCTCTACGCTTGCCATCATCCCCTGTCACAATGCAATTACCGAACAGAGTGATAGCAAGATAGCAGGGGCCCCCACCGCTAGCCACAATGATAAAAGTATTGACTGATTTGATTGAATGATTAAAATAATGCAGACGTAAAAATTGGGGTGGGCGAGATAGAGGCGAAATGGCATGGGGAGAGACAGGGAGAGAGAGTGGGGTGAATCTTTGTAGATATGTCATTGCTGTGTATGTAAGTAATGTGTGTGATGTTTTCTTCATCTAAAGAGCGTTTGGTTTGGGTTCTTTTGTGCGATGTTGTGTCATGTCTTTGTCTCTCTGTCTCGCAGGTTGCCATTTGTGCTGACGTGAGGGAAGTTCTGCTATCTGATGGGAATGAGAAGTCTATTCACAGTATCCTTTCAGGGGCAGCCCGTGTTTCATTTGCCTGTGCGGTCTCATGTATTTCTACGCGCTCATGTTCATTCATATTCATTTGTGCGTTTTCCTATCCGTGTTGAAGACCAAAAAAAAAGGATGTGGTTTAAATTAAAGGTGCAGGTATTGTAAAATTTATTTTATAGTTATCTACATTTACTGTGCTTTTTTATTCCATATATTATATAGAATCAAAAAACACACTTTATTTGTGCGTGTGGAGAGAAGGGGTGGAGCGTGGAAGGATTTTGTTTTCGTCTTTTTTCTGTTTTTTTTGTTTGTTAATATTAAAATAAAAACACACACACCCTTTATTGTACATATAATGCATAATTATATTACATCGTAAGCTTTAGTATTTATACTATTACGAATTAAAGTAAAAATCAACATATTTCATTAAACATACAAAAAAGTCTTGGGCAGAGCAGAGAACTGTGTGGCCTATACCATATAATAAATTTGTATACTCTTAAATGGACTGTTATTGCAGCACTTTAATTCAAGTGTGAATTCCAGTAGAAAACTTTTCTCTCTTTCTTATGTTAACTTTTTGTTATGAAGTACCTTCAAAGTTGCGTAATGTAAAGCTGCACCTACATAATACTCTTTTAAGTACACCTCTCATTATTATTCAAGTCAAAGATGGGTTTGTTTTTCCATTAAACTTTTCGACATGTACAAGTATTCAATAAAAGCGCCCAAACCTTGACTACTCTCCAGCCCTGAAAACCTTAGATTGGCTTCTTGAATTCTCTTTTATATTTGGGTAAAATGCAGCAGATGGGGCACCAGCCGTGACAAATATCCAGCACTTGTGCGCCAGTGTGTACCAGTGCTGGGCCCACAATGCCATGTTAAGAGCACAGTAATTGCCATCCTGTCAGATTTAGCTCGAGACTTCATCCAGGGTTAAAGCTTGATGAGTGTTTTGGAAGCTGGGAACAATCAAGATTCGTTGTTTAAGATGTTTTTGGGTGCAAGTGGTTTAGTCTGAGGCCTATAATTAAGTTTTTAGGACCAATCTGGAGGTGAGATTTTTGTAGTTGGAGTGGTTTATTGATCAACTCACGTTTGTCAGCTTAAAACATGGCATTCTTCACTCGTCTCATTTTTTTCTGGCTTCCCATCACGGCCAACCCCTTTCTGTTGTCCCCCACCACTCCAACAGCTGAAAAAGCAGGCTCCAACTCTACAGTTTATCCACAAAAGCCGGAAATATAAATACACATTTCTTCCCTATTGACTGATACAACACTTCCACATTTAGCTCTGCTTACATTATCTCTCCCATAGCTGTCTACAATGCTCCTTTACCAATCACAATAAGCCCAAACAATAACTCACTGGGGCCCGTAACTCGCCCGCACACACTCTCGGGCACACAGACAATGTGCTATTGACTGGCTGCTTTGTTTCACACAACAAACCCACAGAGAATTGTAAGTGAAATCATAGACAGAATGGACCGAACATGCGCAGACGCCACTCAAAAACATCAGTTCACACACAGTAGGCTTCTGGAGGCCAATTCCACTCACACAGGAAGCTGAGAAACTTTTGTCTTAGTCCAATGGATACTGATTAATGTGTATGACAGATTTTTATGATTCTCTAATTATGATTTTAATTGATGGGAATATAACTACTGTAAATATAAATTATAGTTTTAGACAAATCAAGAAGCAATTTGCAAAGAAAAGTTGAAAATTACAGGAAGTAGAGAGTAACATATTGATGATATCATACTAGGGAGGATTCTTTTCAAAGCACTTTTGACACTTTTTACACCTTTTCGGATACTTTAAACATGATTTCAACAAAATAAAGCTGTTTTCTTTAATGTGTATTTGTCAGATAACAATTTTTGTGTACATTAGAGGAGTTTTGCTAGACATTTTTCCTACTGTGATGTCACGATTTCCTAGACATGCATATAAATGAACAATGATGATGATGAGTAGTTGCTATACACAACAGTAAGACTAAGAGCAGACCAATGAGGAGAACCAGTCCCTTAAATTTATTACTGAATAAGAGTTTAACCCCAAGGTCCCATCCACCAAATAATTATCTGACCAAGTGACACCTACCTAAACTGATTTCAAGTTAAAACTCTTATAAAACATTGATTATACTGAAAGAATTTTTTTTTTTTAAACTTACCAAAAGAACAATTGACAATAATACCAGCCTATTTAATGTATTTTACAGTGAACATGCAATTATATTTACTTCTATGTTGGCATCTGCTAATACGGCGCTCTTCTTCCTGTTTTAAAAAGTTTTTAAGTTGAGGATGTTTATACAGACGGCAGGCCTAGGAAACAGCTCTTGACCTTGGATGATGGTGGTTCATAAGTATGATTGATAGACGTCATTGCCCGCTTGCCCACTTGAAATGGTGTGCCTCATTATTGTTGTGCTCTAATGTTCGATAATGTCCCAATCTCTGTCCTATATGCGGTCCACTCCACTTGTGTGTCACTATAATGTTTGTGTGCGCTTCACTGACCTCTCCCCCAGTGGTGTGCTAGTGATGAGATTAGCGTAAGCTGCTCTGCTCTTCGCCCTGTCATCCTATTCTTAATACACTGATGCCCAGGTGTCCAGCATACAAGTTATGGGTTCAAAAATGTCCTCTAATTTCATCATACTCATCATTAATGTATTTTGTTCTTACGGCTCTTTGAATCAGTATCTCTCACATTTATCGCCTAATCCATTCTTGCCCCTCACTCCCCTTCTCCCCTTCCCATCTCTGTTCTTGTCGATTGGATTTGTCTGCAGCTCTTTGCCGGCTTTAAAGACAAGGAAATCCTAATTGAATTGCTTTGCGACTCCACAAGCCAGTGTATTAATAGACAACTTGACATCAATCGGCCCAGCTTTGTGCGTGCTCACCCGTGTGCGTGCGTGTGTGTGTGTGTCTGTGTCTGAGCTGGCTGGTGTAACTTTGTGCATATGTGGTGGTTAAAAGCTTCTTCATTGATCCACCATGACTGCTTCTGTGATCTTCTCCTGCAGGCCTCCTCTGCTCCTCCCTGGAGATCTGCTCTGCTTGCTCAAGCTACAGAAGTCATACAGCTATTTCTTACTTGTAAAGGGTACTTGTTTAGCATATTCAAAACCTCTACAAGTTGTACCCATGGCCCAGAATTTTGTGCTACCTCTGCTACATATGGCCTCTTTCATTCAGACATTTATGTAATCACTATAAAACTTGCTTGTAGACTGCTGAAATCATGCCATCTCATTAATGTATTTGAACACTTTCTTGCTTTAATTATTGTCATAATAATAGTAATTTTATGACATAAGTATAACGTATATGACAATATAAATACAACATTAGAATGCATGTTTGCAAATATCATTTACAACCTGAACTTTCTGTTTCTTTACTGTTTCTATATTTGCATTACTTTTCATACTTTCATCTTTACAACATATGTAAAGCGTTTAGAGTTTATTTTGTATCCTTAACTGCCCGTGCCAGATGTGCGGGAGCTGGTGGAGAGAAATCAGCAAGCTGGAGTCTTCAGCTCAACAAGTGTGTCAGCCCGGTGAGACTGTTTTCTACAAACAGTATAGACAGCAGCTATGTAATATTTTGGCTTTGTCTGTTGTTTGTGAATCAATAGATAACAAAAATTAAAAAGTATATGGATTAAATATGTGTATTAGTTAATATTTTTGAAGTTTGTTTGCTTGAGATATTGGACAAGGTGCTACTTTCTTGCAAAAAAAAAAAATTCAAAATTAAAACTCTACAAAATGGAAGATTGTTATCAGACTGTATAAATGGACATTTTACTTACAATTTAAAATACCTGACTTTACAGTGAAAAATTGTCACTCGCTCTACATGGTCCTGGTGCCTTTATTTTGCCATTTTGTCCATCAATAAATTCCTATTCCTAATATGTAACTCAGTTTTGCACTTATAAGCACCTGCCTTGTGAGCTTCATTTAACTGGAGTTGAACAGTATAGATGATGTCACGCTCCCTTCCTTTCGTCCACTTCTTTGTACAGTCTATGGGTAAAACCTAAAAAACAAACTAGAGAGATTAGTTGTTATTTGCGTAATATAATGTTTTTTTTTCTTTTTTCTGGCAATTTTGTGCTTGAAATAAAAGGCCTTCGTGGTATCCAGCGTGTACATTCAGACTCGATCAAGCAATTCATTCCTTTTGATAGGAAGTCATCATGTGGAACTTATCTATAGCCACAAAATGGACCCGAAATGTCATTTGTTTAGTCCACTATCTCTTCTCCTCCCCTCTCTCACTCTCTCTCTCTTGTTCTCCTGCTCATATTTACATGAGGGGGAAGATGAAGTGAAAAAGTAAACGTATAATTAGGCTACATTACTTTGATTGTTTTCTTTTCAGATTATGCCTGCTGTCATGTGTGCCAGGCGAGAGAGGGCGAAGGGCACGATGTGATTGGACGAGAGGAGCGGGGAGGGGTGGGGCGAGGGAGGGGGTGTCGGGCTCCCGCTGCGATTGGAGATTGTGTTTCTTGCCGAGCCTAATGTTTTGTTTACTGAGTGTTAATAATGTCTAATTAATAATCCTCCAGTCGGCCTAAGAAGGGAAAATGATGTGGAAGGAAGAGATGAAGGGGGTAAAAAGGCTCTAAGAGGGGGAAGCGCAGGTGGGCTTGGGGAGAGGGAGGTCTGCTGGAGAGGTAGGCTGAGGCTCTGTGCATAGTATAAATGTCAAGTGTCATGTCAGAAGCTCCCCGGACTCACCTCAAACACGACATGTCTCCTTTAGCACTGCTTTCTCCGATTCTCCACCCAGGCAGAAAAACAGTGGGGGTCACCGTGCATTCATTTGCTTTATGGACAGGTTTTGACTTGCAAGGGTCTGTGAGGATTTCCCCTTATATAATTATACTCAAGCTCAAAGACAGGTTTTAGAATGAGATCAAAATTGAGATATCTGTTGTACTCTGCCTAAAAACAGTAGGTTAAGGAGATTACATTTTTTGGTGCTGCAAAGATCACAGTAATAATTCAACAAGTATACAAACAAAAATAGGTATTATTCTTTTATATTTTCAAGTGCACAATTGTGATTGTCAGAAATATTTATTCCCCTAGTTTGGAGAATGGTTAGTCCTTGTGAGTGTATTTGAACCCCATGTTTCTGGCATTCGTTTTCCTTAGTTCCTAGGTTCCTTAGTTGCCAAATGCTCTAGGAACTGCAGTTGAAAACTAGATATAGACTCCAGAAGTTTAAATATGCACATTTAATAACTTAATGCAAAACATCCGTCAAAAAGACAGATTGAAATCAAGTTGTTTTGTTTCTTATAAAGTTGTCTGATAGAGTTAACTTTTTTCTTTGCTTTAAAACGGTAAATTTTTAATATGTTTATGCCCACAGGGTCCTGAGATGGGACTGTGATTCAGACATCTCACCACTGGAAGGTCACTTTGATGTGGTCATGTGCGCCGACTGGTATGTTCAAAATGTTGTCTGGTCAATCCTCTTTGTACATTTTTGTGACAGTGTTAGCCTTGTCCCTAGAAGTGGCTGGACTCCTGCACACACAGAACACACATGCATAGAAACATATGCTCTAGTGCCCACGTGCCTCCATTTTACACTAAATTGCCTCGTTTTCATGCTTGGTGTGCCAGCAAATGGATGACTTAGGCAAATTGCAAATAATTGCGCCTTGACAAGGAAGGAGACACACTATGATAAAGAAAGTGTTGAGAGAGGAAGAAGGGAGGAGTAGAAATGGAGATGGAAATGGAGCGATAGAGCAACATAAACATAACAATTAGCCCGTGCTTATTGAAATGTAGATCTTGGCCAATCTCAAATTAAATCTTGTCCAATTGCTCATGTAGCAAGTGAGATTGAATTCATCAAGATGGCTTAGTGCACTCTGCCCAATCTGAGAAAGCACAAGTGAGGAACACAGTCACTGAACTTGATTTGACTTGATGGCTTCACTTCTGCCTCATGACTTACTTTAGACCATTAATGGCAAACTGTTAAAATAAAAAGTGATTAACAGCTCTAAATGTTTCCAGCAATTGTAGTTTTTCTTACTGTTCACAATCGCAAGGTGAGTGATTTGTAGGAATGACACCTGAAAGAAAGCAGCTAAAGTGAAAATAAGTTAATAGTGGTGAGTGCAGGAGGTATATTTGTTATGCTTATATAATTATTGTCAACAAGTTTGAGTCCAAGTTATTTGATTGACAACTCTCAGCTGGTTTGGATGATTAGATGTCCCTCAAGTTTTATTCCTTAAAAACAATAACGCACATGTGAGTCATAAACATACAATAGCCATTTGCTGTTGGCTGTATATACAGTGTGAACTACTGTAGATGTAATTATACATCTATCTGAGCACCCGTCTCTCACCTGTGACACTGATGTAACCTGAGTTACTAAAAGTCCCCCTTACACCAGCAACAATACAATTAATGTTCGTACTGAATATGTAATTTCCAAAGATGCAGAATAAATGCACATTCGTTTAACAAATAACGACCACGACGATTTTAGTGTGTGTGTCTGTGTGTGTGTGTGTGCTACAGTAAGTGCATTGGCATTAGCCAAACACAGTTATCATTATGATAATGTCACGGTCATTACATGTAATAGCCAGATACAAGAACTGGAAAAAGAGCTCGAGCAGGCAGCTAATAGACAGTGGCTTCACTCCAGCAGACTGACATTTTATGCACAATAGATAGTCTGAAATATATTTGGTGACTTATTTCTTATGCTACATGCATTAAGTCTTAGGCATATATGAAAAAGATGCTTTCTAGTGGGGTTCTATATTCTGTAGTTTGTGAAGCAGGAGGAGTGTAACTGCTGCTGTGGCAGTTGTAGAGTGATGGCTGAACGATTAGCAAGCGCATCTTTGTGATGATCACCTGCGAAAAGGTCAACAACACGGCCCCCTCTTGGATTAATTATAGCTCCCACTGCCGCTAGTGTAACCACCGCTGTGAGGAGACGACAGAAGAACAGAGGAGATTGGGAAGAAGACACAGGGAATTTGGGAATAGCAAAGTAAATTGTTGAGTGTAAGAGCAGATGGAGCCAATAGAGCAGTTATTTAAGTGCCTTAAAGTATGAAAGTGGTACTTTTCAACACTTTCCTTCTTTTAAATGTAGGCCTATTTATAGACATCAAGGAGAAGTGTCTATGCTAAATACTGTGAATACAGTATATCAATACAATCTACAGGAATTTGAAAGTCATTTTCATCATACTCTGTTTGTTTTACTGTGTAACAGTGATTGCTAAAGTGTATACACAATGCTTAAAGGTCTTATGGCTTAAAGGTGCACTACATAATTTTTCTGGTTGCCATGGAGGCTGACCTGCAACTTTTTCCAGTGGCATCACTGTTGCTATTCTTTGCCCTAAAGAGATATTTGAGAGTATTTTTATTTTATTAAATAAGACAGAGGAAGGACTAAGCTGAAACATAGAATTAAAATGTTATTAACAGAATGTTAGCTTCAGCTTGGTTTGGGCTTGGATGAATGAGGTCATTTTCCCCACCTATCGCGTGACAGCCATGATCATCAGACTCGTGTAAGCAGATAAATATAGTCGTCATGGTCACTCACAGACACACTCCGTCATGCCCTCGGACCTTTGACCAGACTGAGGGGGCCGTGCAGGGTGGGAGGGGTCAGACTGAGACAATAGGACTGTGCACGACAAGGGGCAGCAGTAGAGACCTTAAAAGGGTTTACCACTCAATATTAAAGTCTACAAAGGTTGAATGGTATGGAATAGTCTGTCAATGAAGAGTGGAATATTTAGTGATGGTTTCCAAGCCAACCAAAATTATTCTGCCTAAAAACGTGCACAAAAACTAATCCTCCAGATAAACAATCCTAAATCTATTTATCTATACAATCTATCATTTCACTGATAATTACAATTGCACTTTTCCTAACATAATTAGAACTGATATTGTGATTACTCAACTTAAAGCAACCTCAACAGCTGCCCCTTACATGACTCTGTGTCCTTCCTTTGGCCTATATGTCTGCGATTGTGTGAATATGCTGGAGCTCCACCCGACTTGCCCACTTCCTTGTTTTGCTTCACCAGCCACTTTTCCGTCTACTAATATCTGTGACAAAACAAACCAAAACATACAACTCTCACCTTTCAAGTTAAATAAACCACCACCTGAGACAATCCTTCAAGAATAATAAACATTTAATGCCTGGCACAACTGTATAGAGCTAGTGCTGACCAATGGAGGTGATGGCAAATGCTTCTCTATAGCGATTTGGGATCAAGGAGGATTTTGGGTAAAAGGTCACAGGTCATGAAAGGAAAGTTATATACAAACTGCTTCGGTGACAGTGGCGTCTCCTTGGTGCTGGCTTTCTCCCAAAATACAGGGCTGCCCTCTGATTGATCAGTTTACACATCACTGATGAATCACAGACAGATTTTCTTGCATTTGTGAAGTCATAAAAATTGAGAGAATTTGTCTTGCTGCCTAGGCTAGCAACTCATATGTTGTGTTTGCAGTCTACAGCTCTCAATGCTGAGCTGTATCATAAAGGACCAAAGGACTAAAGGGAAACCATCCACTGGTCCACATAGTGAACAATTTTAATTTATATTGCGGAACCTGCCAACATCTATCAGCTTGGAGACCAGCAAATACTGTTTGTACAATAAGTAAGTTTAATGTCATACTGTGCAACATTCCAAGAAAAGCAATCACATCAGAGACAGAGACAACATGGCAGATTTCATACCTTCAGCCACATTGACCAGGTAGTAACCAATGGTGGTGATGACCAGCGCGCCTCTTATAGCTATTTGGGATCAAGGAGGATTTTGGGTAAAGGTTACAGGTCACGAGTGGAAAGTTCTACGCAGATTGCCTCTGTGATAGTGGAACGAATGCGGTAGATTATGTCAAATCTGCTCGGCATTGTTGCGTTTTAGTCAAATTACTGCACTCTCATCTGTGATAATAGGTGCACACATGGACACCAGCCTCATAATGGATTGAAATGTGGCGAGGTGGCCATAGAGACAGGTGTTACTTTGTTCCCAGTGATTAGAGGTGATGCTGAAAGACTATGTGGATTTGTGTGGATCCCCAGTCCATTCAACACCTATTGTTGGTAATAGGATGTTTTATTGATTTATTTGGAGGCCCTTTAGCAGCGCACCTTAACTGTTTTCACCTGTGTTTTTTAGGCCACACATGTGAAGAAGGTTGGTTTTACACTGCTCAGTGATAAAATGCTTTGTTACCTGTCAAACTATTTAAAACTATATAAGCAAATGCTGGTGGCAGGATGAGTAGTGGCTGTTCTAAAAAGTAGAGTTATTAAAAATACAAAAATCAAGGGCATTGTCATAGTTTATTAGTTATTAGTAATTTTTTATGTCTCAAAGGGCCTTCACAAAAAACACTTTTTTACAGTTTTTCATTATTCTGCCTTGAGGTTCATCAAGTATTCTTATTAACCCTTTGCTCACAGCAAAATTAATTAGTACAGTAACCACACTAAATTTTATTTATTTACAACATGTTTTTTGTAATAGAACTACAAGTAGCTGCTAATGAAATGAACGTTTTATTTTTTTCTCTAACAGTTTTAATTTATGAACATCTGCTTGTCTGTTTAAAAACTCGCTATCATTTTTAAGCACTGAAAGTAACTCTCATATTTGAATAAAACTGCAATTTTTTTTTTGTTTTTGTTTTTATGTCCTAAACACTTATGTCATCCTTTTATTCCCTTAAAATTCACCCTTTTTACCACATTGAATTGATCAGGTAAACGATTGTTTGTTGAAGACGATGCTATCTTTGCAGCTTTCGCTTTGCATTCTACGTAGAGCTGAGTTGAACCTTCCTGAAAACTCCCACGTAAACAGAAAAGAGACCATTTTACTGATGCAAATTGTTTTTCCCCTCTTCTTGCTGTTGGTGGATTTATTTGTAAACAAAGCGAAATAAATAGGCTGAGGTTTATCTGTGGCTGCCATCGTAAGTGCACATTCTAACCCAGCTCTCCTGTTTTCCACAGTTTGTTCCTGGACCAGTACAGAGCCAGCCTGGTTGATGCCATACGGAGATTACTACAACCCAAAGTAAGTGTGTATGTATATGCGGACTTCATACATCTAAAGCCTCCTCTTCTCAATCATACTTAGTCTGTGCCCACAAGCCCATGCACAGTAATTGGCGGACAGGATTAATATCATGTAATACTTTAATGCTTATTATGAACAACTTGAATGCGGCACTCTGATCCGCGGCCGGCTCTCCTTCATCATAAATCCAAGACGACTTCTCCCTTTTGGCCCCGTGATAAGACCCCACGCTGCGACAGCCAAAGCAAATGGGGAAAAGGCAGAAAGGCTAGGAGAGATAGGGCTGAGATTTTTCCATTCATGTGCGAGACTGAGGGGGAGAGAGGGTGTGTTTAACCATACAGAGCAGGCTGACACGGTTTTATTTATGGAAAGGAGAAGAAAACGAATGACAAGCTAATTGTAAAGGATGGTATAGACATTCTTCATGTTTTAATGTACTGTCTCAGCTCAAGTGATTCAATAGCTGCTATTCCTATATAAATAGTTTTATGACATTTCTTTTGGCTACACAGTCAGGAACAGAACATTGTTGGCTTGCTTTCTTGTATGGGTCATTGGCTTAATAATGTCTCCAACTGCAGGCAAAACTACCATCTGATAATAATATATTAAATTAATTTAGGCTGTTTAATTTAGGTTTATTTATTTGCCATTTATAGTAAACCCACATTGGAAGAACATATGCAAAACGCTCAATGTGCACCATGAGACTATAGAAATTCATATAGACAGATGACATATTGACACTGAAATAAACAAGATACAGAGATTAATGAGCTAAAATATTAGGGTGCTTCATCAAAGTTCAAAGTGGATTATTCAAGCTGATAACGGTTTATGGGAAGGTTTATGGCGAGAAGTCTTACATTTAATAGAGTGATATCTTCTTCCACAGGCAATATTAATAACTGTACAGCATTTATTCATTTTAGATGTTTACTATTTTAACAAAACAATGAAGATAACATGAATGAAAATAAAAACATAAAAGTGAGAAGTAAATATGACAAACTCGAACAGTATACAGAAATGATGTTATTGCTCAGTTACAGCTTCCCTCCCCCCATAGATCACTCTCAGCATCAGTTGTCGTGATTACTGAGGTGTATTAAGGGATGTCACATATGAGAGAGAGAGAGAGATACTTTATTGATCCCAAGAGAAATTCAAGTTTTGCTGCAGCAACGTTTACACTGCGCAAAACTTGGCCATGCATTATATTTTAATACATATCAGCATGTACTATATTTGAATACAAGAACTACTGTCTGTATGTGGCTGCCTGTGGGATGTGATCAGGACATTTGCACTTGCTTTAATGTATGGGTCAGTTGCTTTCCTGTGGAGGTGTTTCTTCAGGCCTGACTACAGCTGTTAATAAGGATGTAACCAGAGCAAAATCTCTCAGTAGGATATTTTCACGATAAGCATCTCACGATACGATATTCATTGTGATTTTTTTGTGGAGGCAAACAAAATGTTAACATGCTACTTTTTGTCATAATCCAAATAATAAAGATTTAAGCACGCTTAATAACAATTATTTCATCATGTAGCAAAGGATCACGGTCTTTGTAGTTTATTTATTTAATTATTTATTTATTTGAGACTGGGACAGCGCACAATTTTTACATGAACCTTTATTACAGGAGAGATGCATTGTACATCAGGTTGTAGCATCAGTGCAAATTTCCACCTGTAGTCCCTGGGCAGATTCATTGATTGATTGTAATTTACTGACCTTGGCTATCAACTGTTCTTGGAGACCTATGTAGCATGTTTTGGGTTGGGTTCTGTTTTTTTATCTCTTGCTGCACCATAGCAACAAATTTAAGCAAAGAAACTTGCAATTCGATATTTTGTGATGGCCCACAATATTATTGTGAGACTTTTGACAATATGATATCATAGTATTTCAGTTATATGTTGTTACATCCCCAGCTATTAGCCTTCACATTTCAACAGAATGAGGCAGTGGCATGCTCTGTCTGCTTCTACATAAGACCATAGTGTAAATGCCTGAGCAGCTGTTGTGAGAGGGCTGACCTGACATGTGGCCATTGTTGTACATGTGCGTGTTAAATCTCACCTCATGTTTGCATCTATTTAATCCATGGCAGATAAATCCACAGCTAATATGATTTAACTGCGGACCAACAGACCGCCACAACCATAACAAGCTTTGGCAAATATTTAATATCCTGTTAAGCTGATTTAACAAATAACAAAGCAATTAATTCTCTTTTTAATGGCACTAATTTGTTGTTTTTGACAGAGGTGGATCATATGGTGAATCCTCTAATCAGCTGATTTGACTGTGAGGAGTTTTGTTGTTGTGTATTGGTTAAAGGGGAGGTGTACTGATGAAAGCTCTGGCGGACGTGATCCTGCTGTTCCCACTGGCTTTGTGAGCCTTGAGCTTTGTGTCTATCTACCACACACACTCATGCCTCTTCTGTCCATTTAATTAAAACAGCAATAGTATGATCAAAATATGAAATTAAACCCAAAGCTGCAGGCTTTCAAAGAAACTTTAAACCTGTTGCTAATCCTCTTTGTCTGTTGTCTGTGATGTAGCATGTGCCCACACCTCTGTTGTGTTTACATTTCACTGCTGGATTGGATTAACAAAGTTTTCATTTTTGGTTCAGAATCAACTTTTTGTGCCAAATATCAGAAAGATGAGAAACACAGTGATACAAGTAGAGTCTATGTTTATGTTTTAATCCAGACGCTTGGGTGTGTTTTTCTTGTTTGTTGTCTCCAGGGCACAGCGTTGGTCTTTGCTCCGCGCAGAGGTCAGACCCTTGCTCTTTTCTGTGATCTGGCTCAGCAGGCTGGACTGTTCATCTCTCAACACCAGCAGTACGACCATCACGTCTGGGACACGCACTCAAAGGTGAACCATAACACACTGATCTGACTCCCCAACAGTTCCACAAAATACCTGCTAAATATGTTTGTATGTAACTATACTACTGAGGCAGAATATACTAGAATCCAGCTCATATCTCTAAAACATGCTACTTTCTGATGCCTTAAAAAATACCACAGGACACTAAAAGTAAAATGGCACCTTGTAAAATGAAAAGATCCCTTTTGTGTTTTCCAAAAAGAAAACCTTAATCCTAACAAAGAGACCAGCCTCAAACACAAGCGTCAGGTAACAGTCTCATAGGAAAAGTGTTTAATTTTAACAAGTGCTGTGCTGAATACTGTAATACATAACTGCCTTAACCGTCTCAGTGTAGCACCAGGAAGAAAACAAAAAGCAGTTGTAAAGGAGAACAAGATACAGATGTGAACCAAAGCAGCACACATATCTTTGCAATTGAAACTAAGGATTAAAACTCATTTGAGATCTTCTTTTCGCATTGACAAAGGAACAGTAAACTACAAACTTGGGGCTGCAGGTGATACGTTTTCTTTGACTCATTGAATTCTTGAGTGATTTGGTTATATAGCAGAAACCAGGAAAATATATAGTTTTATTAACCGACAAATCCATGTTAGCAAAAAAACAAAAATATTTTAGTTTACGGCATGATTGACATGATATTTATTACAATTCAGGTGTGGTGCTCGATTCCTGGACATGTAGAGGTTGTATGTTCTCCTTATGTCTGCATTACCCTGCGTTGTTGTGCAAAAGGTAAATATTCTTTTTTAAATATCAATGGGACTTCACTGAGGCCAAGATGATATTTTCCTGGTTAAATAAATAAAATTTGTTTATCATATGAATTGAGTTATATAAAACCAAAATTACTTTTTGATTAAAGAGACTCGATTAAGACATTAAAGTATCAATCAAATCAAATCAATTCAAATCAAATAATCTTCTCTGATTAAAAAAATGTATAAGTAGTGAAGAGTGGTGAAACATATCCATTGACTTCCTGTTCAAAACTTCAGAACTGATTCTCTGCTTCCTATCTTGTCTCATAGCACTATTTTTTTTTTTTTAACTGTGTTTAGGGTGTAACATTTTTTAAAATAGAATCTATTGTGCTTGAGTCTGCTATATAGTTATGACACCCATTGATCATGATAATATAATTATAATTTGGACATCACAATGTTCATCTAAATTAATCGACTTAATAAAAGAAACAAGTCTTTTGTCTTAGAGAATTGTGGTGGCCAATTGGAAATGACGTCACTGTAAACGTCATCACAACAAAGAGCTGTGCAGCTGTCAGTTGCACAAATGACTATGCAACGCTGCTGAATCCAATGGGTATCGTCAATTAACAAAAGAATAAAAAAATAATAACAACATGAATGATAATAAAAACAAATTGTAGACAGTAGACATTGTTGTAGACATGTCTGTGTAGAAAGGATCCTATTGCTCAGTCATAGCTTCCCTCCCACCATAGACCTTCCTTAGCATCAGTTGTGATTACTGGGGTATGTTAAAGGATGTTACATATGGCCATGGCATTATATTTGAATAGAATAACTATTATCTGTTGGTGCCAGCCTATGAAAATAAAATTAAAGAACAAAGTAAGTACAGAGCAGTGAGTGTTTGCATGTGGCAGTGAAATCTGGAATTCATCTGCAACATTTTTCAAACATGTACAAATCACTACAAAAACAGTTTTAAGAGGGCAAATGAGAAGGGGAAACAGCTATAATATGGTTAAAAGCTCTGAAAAGTCAATTTTGCATAATAGGTAATTTATGTATGACCCTGAGTTTTTATTTTTCAAAGAATTGAAAGTAAATACTGAACAGTGGGTGGGGATAGGTGAAAACTGAAATTTTCTCAGCACTCAAGCCTCAAGTAAAGGACAATACAGAATAATTATATTATATCATGCATGAATCAATCAATATACAACTCTGAATAAGTTTATGAAACCATAAAAAATGCTAAGGAATGTCAATTTTGCATATGTATGCTTTAAATTATAACACTGTTTGGACAAGCATTCACTCAGAGCTATTTGACTTAATGAAACCATGTGGACCAAAATTATTAACTATTAATTTACAAAGTAATGAAAACAAAAGATTAGTAACTGCCCAAGTGCATAAAACGATGATTAAAAATGTATTTTTTTTTTGTTCCCTCAGTGAGTTTGATGCAATTTTGATATGGTTTAGGTTGCGTTGAAGTGCCCCCTCACAGATGGAAGGAGCAGGACTTTTTCCTGCTTATTTTCTAATGAGCAATCTCTGTGTTGTCTGTATGTTTAAGTTTAGGATCATTCTACAAGAAATGATGTCCCCAAGAAGCATTGAAACCCAACGTGATTTTTAAATTATGTCTTACCCACTCCTCCTGAGACCCAGGCCTCACTCAGACACTCAAGATTATACAGAAATGGCCCCATGATGATATATAGATAGATTAGCTCCCCCCACACAGTTCATATATCTACTCATCGGTAGGTAGTAGAAGACACACTGTATATATGAACCTATAGGGTCATTCTCAATAGTAGGTGTGCATTAATTTATGCATCTGATTTAAATGCATATGATTTATATACCCTCCACTCTCAACTTTTATACATTTATTTCAAATGTAAAATCCTAAATTACATAAATATAATCACATTAATTACATTAACATCATATTTTCTCATTCATTTTAAAAGGGTACTCAAAATAACGATATTCATTTATAGTAAAACTAGTGTCGAACAAATTTTAAGTATCAACACTGTTTTTATTATGATTATGGTGTTAAAAAAATGAAGCGTTTTTCATAGTATCAAAATCAAACTTTTAGTATAGTGATACTTCCTACACAGTCAAATCTAATGCTGGTATCCATTTCTATCTCTAAAAAAGTAACATTTGTTTTTAGCCATTTTTCAAAGCCTCACGTTTAGCCTTTGACACGAGCCCTGCCGAAGGACTCCATCTGCAGCCTGCCCTAACCTGCTGCTGCTCTGTGCTAAACCTGGAGTGCTGGGACGGGCTGACAGGGCCGCCCTGTTATCCTCTTATCCCCACTGTTGTGGAATAGAGAGGCAAGCAGCTGGAGGGACTGCAAGCAGCCTGATAATGCCAGTGCTATTTTCTAACCCACCATCTTAATCTTGTTACTCAAATGGTTGTGAAGAGAGAGTCATGAATTTTAATTTCTCTCAAAATACACACAGGGGTATAGGAAGTGTGTGTGTAGCGCCTGCATAAATAGGCCTGAATGTGCTGCTCCCTGCCTGGTACCTACTCCTACCTCACCCCTCCTTCCTTTCCTTTGCTATCTTCCCATTCCCAACATCACAACCCACTTGGCTATTTATTCAAGCTTGTCCGTCTATCCCTTCCTCTCTTCATCGCTCCATCCAGCTCAATCCCGGATTCTCTGTTTCCTAATCCTGCCGAGAGAGACCCCAGACATCCGGTTTCATCCCTGCCTCCCTCGTCTCCCAAAAAGCCCCCGCAAACTCGCTCATTTTCTACCTTGTTCACTTTCTCTTCTTGAGCCCGCTCTAAGTGCACAAGCAAAATGAACGTGCAAAAAAAGGTGGAAAAGAGAAATACAAGGAGACAGAAGCCAGCACGAAAAGTGGCAATAAAATAAATGACTTGCACCTTGGCAAGAGGGGAGAGAAGAAAAGATTGCAGGGCAGTGGGGCGGGGGGTCGAGTTGAGAGCCGATTTAGCCAGCCACCCATGAAGCTGATTAGGCAGCCTGCGATCAGGAGGAACAGCTTTGCTTGTTAAACTTTTCACCTCTACGAGCTCTCAGCCCTCACCGTGTTAAAGCACCCCCTCCTCCACCCCCACCTCTCTCCGTCTCTCGTCTCCCCCTGTTCCTTCCCCTCCGCCCGATGCTTCCTCGCTCCTTCCGCCTGGTAGGATTTGAATGTGAATGCTGTCTGCGCACCTCATGGCAGCCTTTGGAGCAGTGGGCCAGTGCAGCTGCAGTGGGCTCTCTGTTGTTTAGGTCGGCCCAGCTCTCAGGGGGGTCAGGGGTTCATCTATGGGCCAGAGCCTGCAGGGATGGCTGCGCAGAGATAACGCATATGAAGGGGAGAGCGGAGAAGGGGAACGCACCCACAGTTTATTTGAAGCAAAAACTACTGAAGGCAAATAGAGAGGGCTGAAATGTGGTACCCCCATTTCTACTAATTGTATTCATCGTTACTTCGGATCTCACAGAAAAGTTTTTTTTTTTTTTTTTACTTTAAATGCAATAAGGTTATTGAGCAGGAAGTGATAAGCCTATCAACACTCACTGTGGACTGGAAGAAGTTTTGGAGCCATGCAGACATTTGGTCTACTGGCTAATTTTCTGGTAGCTTATCTCTTTCTTCATACTATTTATATTCCCAAGTTTCAGAGTAAACAGTTTATTTAATAAAGGATACCGGTCAGTATATAGTTTGGACACACTTTGTAGTGTACACGTTGTAGATTTTCACTGAAGGCGTCACAACTATGAATCAACACATAAGGAATGTAGCAAACAAAAAATAAACTACAAAACTGATTAGATTTAAAAAAAAAAAAAAAAAAAAAATTATTTTGCTTTGCTCATTTTTTATTAAATTTTTTCTACATTACTTAATGTATCTTGCAGCATATATTTGATATCTTCTTTGTGTATATAAATTGTGAAAAGTTGTAAATGTAAAGAAAAATTACACTTTAAAATAAAGGTGTGTCCATTTTGACAGGTAGTGTATTTGTTATACCAAAATACAACCTTTAGCTGACAGAAAAATGTAATTGAGCAGTTAATATTGAAATGACAAAAGTTTCAAAGGAAATGTAAACCGTACGTATAAACATTGGACTTGTATTCAGCACAAACAGTATCTTCATGACCTGAGGTGTGACTGAAAGCCCAGCAGCAGTCTTGTTTCTGACTGACAGAGCTCAGTGAACCTTTGGGGGGAGTCTTGGGTCAGTCTGAGTTTGTGCTTGTTTTGGAGAAACAGTCTTTTCCCTCCGTCTCATTCTCATCACACATAGTCCCATTCAGACATTACACACTTCCTCTCATCATTTGGCCTGATGCTTCATGAGATGATTAAGTGCCTTGCCGCAACTGCTAAGTGTGCTTAAGAGGGCACAGGCTGGGCACCACCTGCTCATGTATGTATGTATGTATATATGTATATATGTATGTATATATATAGAGAGAGAGTGAGAGAGTAGGCTGAAACAGTTGCTTATTAACACCTACTCCTGTACAGTTTATTATTTACAGCAGCAAAACTTTTAGAGTGTATATATTTTTTCTGCTTGATTTCAGATGTTGAAAGAAGGAAAAGAAGCCTATGATGAGAACATCCACTATCCTCTGCTCCTCACCTTGACCAAAGGACCCCAAACTGTCAGCCTCTTCAAGTAAACACAAACATTTCAAAGGCACTGAGGTATTTCTCATTTCAAAGACTTATGATACAGTATGACCTTAGTAAACAAGACCAGCTGATCATAAAAACAACAATGTGAGGGTGAATAACACCCCACCTTGGACAAAATATCCTAAAAGTACCAATTTTGTGAAATCTGTTGTTAACTTTTCTGGTGGAGGGCCCATCAAATGCTTTTCTCCATGGAGATGTTATTGCTTTGTCTGGAATGTTTCACAGTATGTTATTAAATCTTCATAAAGGCCAACCCAGACCAAGTTACAGATAAAATCTGTGGAGAGGCAACTCCGCTCAGTCAGAATACCTGTTATTCTAGGTATAAAACCACTTGCTATTAAATACATGTAAGGTAAAGCTGTTTAATGTTAATCATTAATCAGCAAGCAGGTGATGGACCCCTGACCAAAAAATTTATAGTGCACCTTTAACCTCGAGAGACAGAGTTCTGTCCAAGGTCTATTTCATTTTTCGACATAAAAACTGACTACCAGAAGTTTTATAGAGGCTTGTGTCTCTAGACCTATTCTACATGGGGTCTATGATAATAATCATCTGGCTACATTTGACATTTGAAGTATTATTTTTATTCTTAGTAAATGTTACCAATTAAACTGTTACACCGAAGTGATTCTTTGAAATGATTCTTTTAGCAGCTCATAGCCATACGCAATTTTACCTAATGCGTGAAACAACTAATAAGGAGGCAATCGCATCCGCAAGTCCTGTGTAATGTACATTGTTGACTGAATATTCTTGTATACTGTGTAAAATTTACATTACAGAATTCACACAATCTACTTGGAGCATCCACTTTAGCTACCACTGTTTTAGCCTTTTCTCTATTTCACAGCATCTGTCTTCATATAAACTCAGGTGTTTCACAGCGATGGGGGCTCTTTTAGGGCTTTTAGTGATACTGAAGCAGACTTTATGGTGGCTTCATTTTTCACTGTGACTTTTGCTGTTTTACCAGCCAAAGCGCTATGCAGTCTATACCTAACGTTGACATTTAGCCTATTGAAATAAAGACTGATGTGCTGTGTGCAGGTTTGTCTAGCTGTTGCTTTGATTGCTGTAAAGATAAAATGCAAAAATGCTACTTTTTTGTTTATTATTATATTTAAATTTACGCACACTTTTATATCGATCTGGATTCAGTGAATCCAGATCTGACTGTGCTGTGTGCCGTGGTCACTGAGCACCGCTGTTTACTGTGAGGTCCATCTTGGATTTGGCATCTGTGTTTTTGACTAAACACTATTTTCTGTGATATCCTATTATTTATCTGTATGTTGTCACTACACAACTAGTGCTGCATGTCTCACTGTGACTTTATCATGCTGTTACAATTACACATATTTGTGATTTTGGTCAGAAACTACATTTTCATAAACAAGGAACTTTTACTTTGCAAATACGTATAAAAATTATTACGAGGTTTTAATGAAACTTTTTTTTTTAAATAGATTGGGGGGTATTCCATAAAAAGGACAAAGAAATACAAAGATTTAGACATATTTGAAGTTTATTTTAATTTACAGCAGTTTTTGGATAATGGAAAGAAAATGGACTGGAGTGATTCTTGTATTTTGAGGAGAATGAGCGTTCCAGTGCTATCCACATTTTATTTTAAAGTTATAGTTAATTATGCAATATTGACTTTTCAGAGCTTTTAACCATGTTATAGTTGTTTCCCCTCACCATTAACCCAAACAAAGTTGTATGTCTGGGCAATCTTTAATAACTTATTTTCAAGACACCATTTTGCCGATCAACCTGTTTCTCCGCCACTCCAATTTTATTTTCTTTATTGATGATTCGACAGCGTTGCATAGTCAACTTGGTACAAATTTTTAAAAACCCGCTGCTTGATAGCATGATCTGCAGTTATTCATTGCAACTTCAGAAGTCCGCAGACTTGTTTCTTTAAGTAAACTGTTTTAGATGAATATTGAGATTTAAAATGGGCAAGTTAAAACATAATGGTCCACAGGTGTCGTAGATCATAACTCTATAGCAGACACAAGCTTTAATTAAGGCTGTAACGTAACTGTAAAGCATGTTATTGTATAAGAGGCCCATAATTCATATTTTGACCAGCGATGACAGGAGATACTACTTATTATTGGAGTTTAGGTTATTTTAGCCTGGATAAAGTGAGGCTAACTTTAGCTTTAATTTCTGGTGGTGAGCTGTGATTTTTTTTAGCTACTTTCATGGAATACCTCAACACCCCACAGATTTTAACTTATTTTTTGTTGATGTGCTCTACAAATAAAGCTGATTTGCAAACTTTTCAATTGAAACATTGAGATAATACATGGTTTGTAAAAAAAAAACCAAAAAAAACTTTGCAAATATGTTTACAATGTTTCTTAAATTTTCCAGTATCTATGAGGCTTATTGACATAACACTTTGTTCACTGTGTTTAATCATTATTACATTTGAGCGTGTGGTTTTGTGAATGCCCTGAATAAATGCATTTTTCCTAAAAAATGAAAATGTGTGTTTTATCTTACTTCCTAAAATTATTAAACATTATTTGTCGTTTTACAATTACGGTTCAAGGCTTAGCGCCCTTGCATTTCAATTGCATTTCTTCCAATTATGAGGCGGGATCCAGTTAACAAAGCGGCAGGTGAAAATGGTTTGTGTCCAATTATGAAAAATCCTTTGTTAAACTGAACAAATATAATAAAGTTTCCTTCAGGACGAGAAATGGGATGTGGCCTGTGGCACAAAACACAATGCCCTCCTGGAGACTTAAGCTGGTGCCAGACGAGGTAACACACACGCACGCACACGCACTTATACACACTCGCACTATCAAGGCAAGTCCAGAGTGTAGTCCTCCTCCACAGGGAGAAGAGAGGGAGGAGAGAGGGAGGGAGGGAGGCCTGCTGCAGCTCACTGTTGTGTTTATCAGTCCCAAGGAGCTCTGCGGCCTCCTGATCTGCCTTTTGATATTGCAAAGAACCCTCTCCTTTCATCGCTGACACTATGAATATTTCGGAGCACTTATCTTCAGTTGCAATCAGAAAATTTACATGAATCATGAATCAAAAAAACACATTTGAACCTGACAGATGCACTGCAAAAATGGTTAAAGGTTAAATTATTTATTGTTTAATACATCAGTAAAATATCTGTGAAATATTTCTGTATTATTTTAATTTGAATATACCTTTTTATATTTGATTTTGAGATTGTTTTTTAATAGTGATCATTGTAAAACACAATTAACATAAAAGTGAATGCCTAACTTGCTCTACTTCGTTCAGTGCAATTAGCTAAAGATTAATTTTAGTATACTTAAAATTGCACTGAGATTCTTTAATTGCCCCATTATAAAAGTTGCTTCTAGTGATTCATTTATTGTTGTCTAAGCATGACTCAACCATACTTTAGGTCAAAATAAACATGTTTTTTTTTTTTCTTTTCTTACATACTTAAATAAACTTTTCCTGCTTTTCTAAAATGTTATCCAAAGTTTAAGTCCCTAAATAACTAGCAGCATAATCAAGTTCTTTTCCAGAGAGACAAATCTATAAATAATGACTCATTTTGCCATGTTTGGTCAGAAACAGTGCCGAGATGTGAAATATTAGATAAATGGACTAGAAAGGTTTATGAGTGGTCTAATGGAGTGATCAACAACAAGAAGAACACAAGTCTAATGAGTGGCGACAAAGTGAGACAGCAGTATTCTCGAAGTGAACTTAGATGGACAAAGGAACAGCAGCAGTGTAAAGAAAGACATAGCAGTGGAGGGTCCGGAGATTGACTGGCCTGAGTGAGTGATCGAACAGAGAGAGAGACAGAGTGCTCCCAGCTCCACACAAGGGCCCCATTAACTTGACCACTTGCCCTTTGCACACAAAAGCAGGGCCGGCCCACTGCCCCTCCCACCCAATTATCCACGATTAGGCTCAGTGCACTGTGTCAAGATGCAGAGACAAGAACAGGAACACAGGGGGAGAGTGACGGCTGCAACCATCATAGAAATATTGTACAGCAAACCTGTATATTTTGAACTTTTAGTGCTTTGGTGAGTATGTGTACATGTTTTGTTGTGGTCTTAATGAATTGTTGCTGACCATGAATTAATTAATTCATTTGTTTATTCATTAAGCATCTCATAACCATGACATAGCACCACACCACTGATACATTCATGTTATTGCAGTAATGTGGGCTCTAGATAACAAAGCCAGAAGTAAAAAATGGACAACATGGGCCAGCTGATCGGATTTGTCCATTTGGTTTAAATTAATGCCATAGATATTGTGTTCAAAATTCAAAAAAATCCATTGAGATACAGAGAAAAAAATAAATAAAAAGTAAACACGAGCCAAGAAACAGGTGGATAAACTGCTGGATAAATAGATTCAACACTATTAGCATCAGTATACTTTTGAATGAATAATTTTAGTTTAGTATTTAGCATTTTAAAATCTTCATTGGTTTAACAGTAGATGACAGTTCCATGAACGACACAATCCTGAGCTGTTCTGGAAATTCATCATAATTGTAGGTTAGCAGATAATGGTTATCATTCAGCAGTGATGGAACGCAACAAAGTAAAAGTAGTTAAGTACTGTACTTTATCATTAGAGACCCGCTGAAAAGGCTGAGGGGTTTATTTTTAACACATTTATCATCTGAGCAAACATAATGTATAACAGAATAAACAAATAAAAACAGCTATAGAATAAAAAGATCAATTCAGGTCTTTCTGCGCAAATATTTATCAAAACCACTGTATTTGAAACTTTATTAGATCTCAAAATCTGCGTGAAATACTTACACTTTTTATTCTTTTTTTTTTTTTTTAAACAGGCATTTTAATACCTTTACTTCTTTACTTTTTTTTGATCCAGTATCTGTACTTTTACTTAAGTAACAAAACTGAGTACTTCTTCCACCACTGTCATTGAGTACAGTATATTTCAATAAAGGTGATTAGATTAGTTGTGATCATTTAAACATGACTTAAAGATGCATTCAGGCTTTGTTTCATTAAAGGTGATTTTATTGTTCAGAAATACCTTTAAGAAAATGCATGAAAATGCCTCTCCACCAAACTGATCTGTACCTTGGCCTGTTTGTCTTGTCAGTTAAGTTTCAGTTGATTTCAGAAAATCAAACCTGGAGTCAAACATGGAGACTAGCATTTGAAGTAACCTCCACAAGAAAAGTTACACAGTACACCTTTAAAGACTTTGGCCCAGAGCATCTATGTTTTGTTCTCTCAGGCTTTCTGGTTTTTATGTTGACCTTCCATCTCCAGGTCAGCTCAGGTAAAATGTTTGTATCAACATAGGCCAAAGTGACTCCTGCGTGTAGCATGTAGCTCAGATGTACAGATCCTGCATGTTGTTCACCTGACAACTCTCGGCAGGTTGTTTGTGGGCTCCCCCTCCATCCCTCCACCCCCTCGCTCCATCCATCTCCTGCCCGAACTCACTCAAAACCTTTCAAGCCTTTTCCCTCTCTCCTCGTCTCCTTAAGGCAATTTGAGGAGGGCTTTTTAAATGATCCGCTCATTATCGGTAGTGGAGTCACTCTTTCTGCTTTTTCAGCTCCGTCTGCTTGCCTTCCTGGCCCTCTCCTGGCTTATTTTTTTTCTCTCATATTAAAGGGTGAGGAAGAGTGGGGGGCTTTGGAATGGCTTTTTGCACCGGTTTGTTTGTGCTCATGAAGTGGAATGCGGCAAAGTCCCTGAGAGCACTTTTTTAATTTAGAAAGCCATCAAATATGAGTTGACATGGTAAAGTACGAGCTGCACCACACATAAACAACAAACCCATGTACAGTGCCTCAGCGGACGGACAGATCAGCGTGGCCTTGGTTGCAATGAGGTTTTCCATTATATGCCAAGGGACCGGGGAGTATACAGAGATGGAATTCCACTCAATTAATTTAGGTGCATACAGAAGAAAGAGATACTGCCTTTATGCTGTTACAATGTGTGGTCCATGTGTGTACTCTGTGTAATACATATATAGCTGTCATTGGTGGAAAAACATAAAGAGAACGGTATTGTGTTGGCAGTTTTAACTCCGCACAGTGTCAAAATAATGTTTTTTCATCAAAAACATAACTGAAGTTGTGTTTTGTTTCATTCATGTTCGAGTAATCCTTTATTAAAATCTCAAAATGCTCTGTTCCATGTTGTGATGTCATGCAGTGGTAGTTTTAAGGTTAACGGAGCTGATACTTTACCTTAACTTCAGAAGAGACTGGTGACACAGTGGAGCACTTCCTTTATCGCCACAAGACATTACAAGGTGGAACAGTGTGTTTTCTGTTCGGGAGAGAACACTGTGTTTGTGTGTTAAACATGCGTGAAAGGAACAAAACACAACTCCAAGTATGTTTTTTTTTTTTACAACATTATAAAAGAGATCATAAAATAGCATAATATGGATCCTTTAATATGTTATGTAGGCCCATTAGATTTAGCATTCATTTAAATAATTCTGAGCAGAGACCCAGCAGCATATCAGGTTGTGCCATGGCATGTTTGTTTAGTTTTATTGTTTTATTGTTTTACTTAAGTGTGTTTTTAGACATTCAATCTGGCATTTTCTTAGGAGTGTTTGACAGTTTGATTTCATACATTTAATAGAAAAATAGATGAGCCTATGCCAGGTCATTTAATGTAATTTATTTTGTGGAAAACTAAATTTATGGCTTTCCAAAACTTTGTAGCAACACTCACAAGGAGCATGGTTATAGGACCATTACAAATTGATACTTTGCCTCTGATGTCATCATCATTTCCTGGGGTGTGATGCTAACTGAAAGCACTGCTCTGTTAGAAGTTTAATGTGAGGTTTATTTAAACACAACCTGACCAGAAAGCGCTAAATTGATTGGAACTGCAACAGACAAGAGTCACCTAAACAGGACCATGAATGAACATATTGATCACAGGCTCCTGGAAATGTGTGGTTTAAATACATTTTCAGTTTCTAAACATATTTCCTAAGGTGTGCCTTGTGTCACTATGGTAACTGATGAACATTCTGCCAATAGAGATACATGTAGAGCACCCCCAGTGTAATGTCACTGCAAAGTATCAATAAGTTGATCCATATGTAAATCCAAAAACACTGCAGATACCCCAACATCTTGGACCACCATATACACCATAATTGTCTTGAAATGACATCACTACAATTTTGGCTCGAAATAATATTCATCAATTGAAATGCTTTCTGTTATAGATTTGCTGTTTATGTGCTCTATGGCTGTAATATTCCCTTTAGTTTTCCATTAGGTAAAGTACAGTTAGGCCTTTCTGGATCATTATTAGATACATTCAGGGAGATCACAGCATAACTCAACCTGACTACATAATATACTCCATCCATGCTTGTTTTGCAGCATCTCCTCGTACTCTGGGTTTACCCGGCTTCGCCTTATTAGATTAGTGACTGGCGAGAGCTGGGGTCAGTGTAAACGTAT